TGGGTTTTTTTTTTTTTTTTTTTTTTTGGTCTTCTATGCCCGGAACATTTAGGGATGGAAGATATGCCTCTTTACCATCCTGCCCCTGCACTCCCGCAGTGCAGGAAGGCTCTCCCGCAGCAAAAACGTGTGATAACCGCATAATGTTTATTTCTTTAAGGAGCTGGAGGTGCTAATGACTTTTGCGGCTGTATCTTCTTGACGTCTGCAGCTTTGAACTTCTCCCAGGCGGTGACAGTTTCTTTATTCCTTTTCGTTCACCCCCAGAGATGTCCTTTGCCACGTTTATCTTCAGCAGGGGGCATTTCTCATCCCCCCTGGGTTCACCACTTCTGCTCTCTTATGTGTTTGTTACAAATAAACCCGTTGCTGTAAATTTTTTTTTTTGGTTTTGTTTTGGAAAGGGCATTGCCTAGATTCATTTGGGAACACTTGTCAGTGACACAGAGCACATAATACAGAGGAAAATAGTAGGGAATACTATTAGAGTGTGTAAGTGAAACCACGGGTACGTAAACAGCAAGCAGAAATGCTTGATAAAAGGATTGCTTGGTCGTGTACTTTCACGGAGACCTCAGTAGGCTTTGACCCGAGGGGTCAGCCAGGAGGGGCTGCAGCATCTTGCCAGGAGGGGCTGTGGCTGCAGGTGGGAGGGTGATGTGGGCTGGGCCTGCCCCTCCCAGGCCCCTCAGCGGTGTCCTCTTGCCCCCTGTTGGTTCTCTGGGCATCAGGGCTCCATGCCCACCCCTGTGTTCACAGGTGCCAGCTCTGGCCTCCCTGTTGAAGGTCTCCTGTGACTCAGCGCCCAGGGAATTTCAGGTGTGGCTTCTCCTGCACAAGGTCAGAGGCGCTGCTTGAGGCCGGCTCCTTAATAAGGGATGCTGCCTGGGAAGCAGGCTGGCCTGGCTTCTCCCCACCCCGAGCAGCAGCTACATCAGGACCCCCTTAAAGTGAGGGCTGTCTGCACACAGACATAGGGAAAAACAGCCCCCCTGCTCTCCAGGCTCTACCCTCACGGTCAACACAGATTCACCTACTCAGGCATTAAAGAAACCTCATTCACTTTCTTTCGCCCCAAATTTCAACTGGGACACCCTCATCCTACACAAAAGACCCATCGCCACCCTTCCAAGAGAACGTTCCCAGCACCGCACCCGCTGATTTTACGGAGTCACGGGTGACGGGAGGAGGCATCTCGAGCTCCTGGTGGGAATGTCCCGCGATGGTCTTTTTTCTTTTTTTCTTTTATTTTATTTTTTTTGGCCGTGCCACGTGGCTTGCGGGATCTTAGTTCCCCGACCAGGGATGGAACCCAGACCCTCCGCAGTGAAAGCGCAGAGTCCTAACCACTGGACCGCCAGGGAAGTCCCCCGTCATGGTTTTTATAGCTCGAGCCACTGTGAACAGAGCGGTCGCCTGGACCACCAAAAGTCTCTCGAAAGGTCTATGTCTAGTCTGACATTTCTGCTGACGGTTTCACGCTCATACGCTCTTGGTGTCCCCGTGGTCCCGATGCCACTAGGTGCTTCGTGTCCCTGGAATTACTGAAAAGTAAGATGTCTCAGAAATGCATCCTTTTGACCAAAATCCACCTAAAGAAAATGCATCTTCGATGGATACGCTGAGTCCACCTACAGTTGCTCCCATGGCCAAATTCGATGCCTGGACGGGACGAGACACTTAGCCTGTTGTAGGGCTGTGTTTACTGTCTTAAGAAAACATTGTTTCCCATGGGGTAGTTTCCTTACCCTGAATTGTATCTTTTCTTTTCCTTGTAGGCGGAAATAACGAAGGCAAAGCAGAGGAAGCTGTGAGAAAGATAAAAGAGGAAACCCTCAATGACGAAGGTACTCTACTGCCCGGTGGACAGGAGGCTCTTCTGCTTGGTCTGGGGGCTGCAGACCCTGGCGTGGGCTCAGGGACCCGGATGGTAAAAGTGGCTCTGGGCAGCGGTGTCTCTGATTCTTGGGCTTTTCTCTGGGGGCGCTTTTGTCCTCCTTGGGGCGTGGAAGGTGGCAGCAAGCGTGCTGCTACCGCGGCACCTGCTGGGGAGGGCGTTCCTTGTGAAACTGGGACCCGTTTTCATTCCCTGTCGATCTCCAGGGCCCTCTGAGGCCCGTGTTCACTCAGGAACCGTTGGATGTACCCTCCGGCAGGTGCACCTACTTTTCTCGGGTTCTTGAAGGGAAGATGCACCAAACAGGACCCTGCCGGGTCTCACGGGGATCAGCGCTGCCCCGTCGTGCATCCCTGGGGCCTTCTCTACCTATTGAACCCCGGGGGATACACACACGGCCCTCACATCTTTCCTGATACCAACGCTCTCCGGTGCTTTCTGAGCCCAAGCCTGGTGCCTTACGTTTAAAAAAAGCACATGCAGGTCACTTTCTTGGCCAGGGTGTTTTAAGCATCACCCAGAAGCTGAGGATTCCCATCTGTGGGCAGATTGCGATTCCTGAGAGACACATGAAAACCCCGGACGGACGGGTAAAGCCTTATCTGTCCCTTTGTGTCAAGACTCCCACTGGTGGGTGTTCAAGCTTGACCGTCCGGCCCTCTGCCCAAGGCTGGGGCGTGCTGACATTCCCAATGTCTCCCCTGCCCTCGTGGCAGGATGCCTTTCATCTTTTTCCTTTTTCCTCTTTTTTTTCTTTTTTTTTTTTTAATGGGGGTAGAGTTGTTTTACAATGTTGTGTTAGTTTCTGCTGTACCGCAAAGTGGAGTTCCCTGTGCTATAGGGCAGGTTCTCCTTAGGTATCTACTAAGATGCCTTTGGGCTTGAGACAGAGCACAGAGGGGCTTCTGCAGCTCTCCTGCAACACCAGGCAGCTCTTGCAGACAGAGGAGCTGCTTGTCGCCCTCGCCTGCCCCGGGGCAGAAATGGTCCACTGTTGTGACGGCCCATCGTGAGCCCCCGTCCCTAGTTTGCAGTGGCTCAGGGGGCCGCTCCCTCCTACGCCTTGGTTTCCACCCAGCGTGTGTTTCCCTGGCATCTAGGGGCAGGTGGTTAGAAGTGCTGATTTCCAGCCCTGAGCGTGGGAACTTCTGCAGACGGGGCTGGGAACCTGCATTTTCCCACGCCTCCCCCCCCCCCCGG